TAAAGAAAAGCTTCAAATAATTTCCTTTATGATAATACAAATTATCTAACTTCAATAGCTTCATTTACTGCAACAAGGTGTAGGTAATATTGAGCAACCTCCTCAAACTCCTCAATGTCAATTTCGTGGACTAACACAGAGTGAACAGAATTGGCCTACCATTTTAGGTGCCAGGTGCCTCCCAAAACACCTGAGATACTCCACGTTCCTTTCCTGCTGCATTTGTGCTCTCTGCTGGTATTTCACTTCCTTCTCATCTCTGGGACTGGCTGAAAGAATTGCCTGCCAAAGGAGTTCAGCTCCCCTCCATGTGTGGAAGGAAACGTGGAGTATCTCAGGTGTTTTGGGAGGCACCTGGCACCTAAAATGGTAGGCCAATTCTGTTCACTCTGTGTTAGTCCACCAAATTGACATTGAGGAGTTTGAGGAGGTTGCTCAATATTACCTACACCTTGTTGCAGTAAATGAAGCTACTGAAGTTAGATAATTTGTATTATCATAAAGGAAATTATTTGAAGCTTTTCTTTATCTAATAAAAATCGCAAAATACTAAACGGTGTAGACAACTATTTGGTATGTTTTATGTATTGTTTTCAACATATACAAGGTTTGCTGAATATTTATCTAGTTTATTTATTTATTAGATTTTTAGTCTGCCTTTTATCAGTTAAAGCAACTCAAGGCAGCGAACAAACCTAATACTCCTTTTTCCTTCTATTTTCCCCACAACAACAACCCTGCGGGTTGGTCTGGTCTGAGAGAGTGACTGAATTACATCACTCAAATTATCGCAGGCAGAAGAATTAAATATTAATTTGCAACAGCATTCTTTCCATAATGCTCTGAGATATTTTTTTTTTGTACAAAATAGGAAATCTCAAAGAAAAAATACAAAGAAAAGGAAATCAAACTCTGTTTAAATATAACTTAACATTCATGCAACAGTCAGCATTGTGAGGTGATGATTTTTCTTTCCTGCAGTGTGTTACATTATGAACAAGAATGATAATTGCTAAGTATTATGAACTTCATCATTCAAACTCACCCCTCTCGGTTCATGTGGCTTTGTTTTTCAGGCTACAGTACTATGAGTCCTCAGGAAGACAGCGAAAACCCTCCCTGCAATAATGACCCATTATCAGCTGGCGTAGATGTGGGAAATCATGACGAAGATTTGGACCTGGAGACTCCCCCTCAGACTGCTGCCCTTTTGAGTCACAAGTTCCACCATTACAGATTGCACCATCCTGCCCCCCATCATAGTCACCACTTACAGGCTGCAGTGACGGTACATACGGTAGATGCAGAATGCTAATGACTTTGACCTCGGGGGAAGAATTGCATCTCATGACACAGACAGCAAGAGCCCAACTCATGTTCATCCTTGGCGCCAGGCTTTGGTTTTGGTGACCATCACGAGACTCGTTTCAGACACAAACGTTTTCCTTCTAAAACATAAAGCTGGCCCAGGAGTGGAGAAGTTAAGGTGATGAATGAACCTGCCATAACACTCAGTAAAATGGAATAGTAGGAATGTTCGGCCTCCAAGCACTAGAAGAAAGGTTTACGCAATTAGCTGAGCATTTTGAACTCTGTTAATCTGAGCCAAGAAAAGAGCTCAGATGAAGGCAAAGAAGATTTTGCTTTCCTTAACGGGAAGAACAGAAAGCCAGAGACAAAGAAGGTGCCAGATCTAAAAATAGCCATTGCCACAAGGTTTTCATTTGTGTGGGCTCCTTTTTTTAAAAAAAAAAAAAGTTCATTGCTCTTACAAATTATTGTATAGGCTCTAGGACAATGCATCTGGAGATTTTTAAATAAAGGATTATTTTTGTACTATTTATTGAACTCAAAACACTCATGAACTCTGAGAGAAAGGAAAGGGAGGGAATAAAGGCATCACAGACTTTCCGTGAATACAGCCTAAAGTTTTATTTGTGTTGGTGACACTGTGGTTCTTAAGAGACTTGATATTCAACCCCCTTCTGCACCATGCTATAAAGGGAAAATGAAGAAATTGTGTGCTGATTTGTTTACATAATTAAAGGTTCGTTTCCATGGTCATTTTGTACACTATAAACATGGCTTGTTGTGTTTATATATCTAGTATCACCCTTCTCCACAATTTATATATATGACTAAAATTGTGTAGAAATGTGATACCATGTCTATGCCTCCTATAAGCATTGAAGAATCCTATTCTTCTCTCATTCTCCCATCTTACTTATCTTCCAACTTGGGGGCAAAATTCCATTTAATATAGTAAAGTGTTCAGTGCCATTCATGATTGATAAATTCAAAATGCTAATTGTTTCCATTTCACACAATGGAAATTTTTCAGAATGTAATGATAAAAGATCTCTTCCGATTTATCTGGCGTCTGACACTGTTTTAGTTCTTCATTGAAGATTCATAACATCTGACTTGATGGCACATGGACCATATAATTTTAAGCTAGTTTTAAGTTGCCGTGTTTTGTTTATAAAGTGACTAAAATATTATGGGCACATCTTCGCACCATGCATATGATAAACATTCATCTGTATGTAGTTTTTAAAAAGGTATCTGAATATTGCTTTAATAATAGGGTACTTAATAGTTATGTAAATGGTTTTTAACAGTATGGTAAAGTATGTGTGTGCTATCATGATGCCCTTTATACTACGTATAAAATCACAATTTCTAGTGGAATAAAATTATGTAAAGTATGGATTTATGAATTGCTTTTGACAGGTCCAAATGTAATTTGGCATAAAAATGTTTTATATTAACTTGGAACTCGGTTATATAAATTTCTTCAGCATTAGATATTCTCTCCCAGATGCTATCTTCATTTCTAAATATTCAAGCTCACAGATACTTTGAGAATAGCAGTGGGGAGCTGTGTGTGAATTCCATGGTCTTCTGATATAAATGGAGAGATAATCTGTACTCACTGTAGGAATCTTTGTGTGAACAGGATATGGTCTTAATGGAATTGATTAGAAAGCTTCTCGTCCCATGTCTTTGTGATGTTATCATTTGATTGTTAGTCCTTAGAATTAAACAAAAGACTCTTAAAGAGTCCATACACAGCATGAATACACTCTTATAATACTACAGTTGCTGTGTTATGATACCTTTAAAAAATTGATAATGTTAAAATTCAATTCCTGCAGAAATTAATCAAATACTGGGAAATTGTTAAAATTCCCAGGATTTAATAATGGCTGGAAGTAACTGTAATAGAAAATGAACTACATCTGCATACCGTACATGGAAATTGGATAATACAGATTTCAAAGATTTTAATTTGCAATTGTCATTTTGAAAATGGATAAATGAAAACGGCTCCATTAATAATAACATTTACTGATCTTGAGTATGTTTTTTTAAAAATACTATACCCTACCTAGAAGCATAACCTGGAACATTTTCTGTTGAATGAAATAGTCATAAAGTTTTTGCATTCTAACTATATTGTGTTACTGTTTTCACTTGGATTTTAAAGGCATCTGACCAGAATAATGGAACTCTAATATTTAGTCTAACCCCCTGGTCTGTCTTGACAGCTAGTTTTGTGTAGTGGTTAAAGGCCTGGACTGGATATCTGGTGACTGTCTTGCCTTAAACCAACTGGGTGTCTTCGGGCTAGTTTCTCCCAGCCCTTTAAAAAAATGGCAAATGAGTTTTTGGGGGTGGGGGAGACTTGCATGCAGTTGTGCAGATGTTGGCCAGAACCAAGATATGGAGACCATCCAAAATTGGTCTTTTGTGAACTGTCATTTCCATGTGCTTGCCTAACAAGAAGCAGTCCCAAGGAAAAAAGATCTAAGTTGTTCCCTTATATTCACCCACATATCTGAACCTATTATCTAAGGAAATAGGAGGGGGTTGGTGGGGGAGAAGTTTCATGCAGGATCTTAGGAATTTAAGTGTCATTGCACAAGTTGTTTCAGATCAACTCCCTCCAAAAGCAGAAATATGCGTAAATAAGTATATTTTTCAAGGTTACTTAAGAGAAATAGTGCTATTTAAAACAGCAATGTTTAATTCACCATTTCCTTCTATGCTTAGATGCTCTTTCACGTGCTAGTAATGCTTCATTAAATCTGGCTTTATCTATCCAATGATATACAATACTATATTACTTTTCACATTTCCCTTTTTATATTTAATGGGTTTTATACTAGAAGCTCCAGCATGTCATATTTAAATATATAAAGGAACAGAGACTTAACTCATAAATATAGTTTGAAGTTGTATTATTCTTAAAATCTCTCCATGAAAATCCAGGTATGTTCTGGCTTTACCTCACACTCTCATATATTGATGGGATTCTGGTTTTTAAAGTAACAGAAATAATAAACTTTTGAATTTTCCAAAGTAATTCTATATTGTTCCAGCTACCATTTTCATTTTATGTTATTCCCAAATCCCGCAACAGAGACTATAATTCTAGGATTTTGTGTGAAATGTTCATAGTTAGTTGTGGCTCCAACCCCCAACTAAGCTACAGTATTGAATGCTGATGCTAGACCTGCCAAAATCAGGAATGGAATCAGGAATTTCCTATTTCTCTATTATAATGAAGAATCAGATCTTTTCAATTGACATTGACAAAAAGCCTTTAATTGGTGATCTTCCGCAGTTGGAAAGAACAGACATCATTTTAAATTCAGTTTTTAATGTGTCGATTGTGTCACATGACATATTGTGACTTTTTTGCGTTTGCAGAGCCGGGGTGGGCATGGCCTGCATGTGACGCATCTGACCTGCAGGCCGCCAGTTTGCCACCCTGTGTTAGGTGGCCAGGATGAGTTATTACAAAATTCTTGTGAGATGATGAGAATTTATTTGATGCAGATATCCTGCATCAATCAGTTTTAACTCAAAGGCAAACACCATTTTCATCTACATGGATTCCTTACTGCTTCATGGTCAAAACTAGGCATTTACTGTACAATAACACCTAAAGTAAAATAGTAGCACCATTCATGCCACAGACATACACTTTTGATTGTTTGCTTGAGTAGAATGTCAAGGTATAAATGTAAAAATAGTTTTGGTACAGGATTCCATATGTTTGCAGACCCAGTTAAAATTTCATAAAATTTTATTTCATTAAACACGTTTAATGGAAATTTTAAAATAATTCATTTTTATTTGGTAGGGTTAGGGTTTAAAGCAGTGGTACTCAACCTGTGGGTCGGGACCATTTTGGGGGTCGAACGACCCTTTCACAGGGGTTGCCTAAGACCATCAGAAAACACATTTTCAAAAAAATATGGAAAACATAAAATAATTTTATGGTTGGGGGTCACCACAAAATGAGGAACTGTATTAAAGGGTTGCGGCATTAGGAAGGTTGAGAACCACTGGTTTAAAGTATCTGTTGCTAGATCTGTCCCAAATGCCACTTTTTGATTCCTATCAGCCCTTTATAATTTAACAAGAATAGCAAACTATGGCTTCATGTAACAAGGGACCTAAGCCAGCAATGGACAAAGGTGATTTTACAGTTAAAGAAAAAAATGTGTGTATAGGTGTATTTTAATTTAACTTATATACTGTTCCATTTCCAAAGGCTTCAAGCAGCTTACAAATAACAATACTGTAAAAGTAAAATATAAACAGTTACAAAGATGTTAACAATTACTAATTGCAAGTAATTGTTAATAACCAACAATGCCAAAGTAATATACACAACAAGACCCTGATACATGATTCTGTTGAAGCAGCAGGATCTTCAAGCATTCCCAAAATACCTGTCTGAAGAGCTGTGTTCCCTAGACTTTCTGCAAATATAATTGGGAGCTGGTAATCCAAATATCTGGAGGTAGATCAGAGGTGGAATTCAGCAGGTTTTGACCAGTTCTGGAGACCCGGTAGTGGAAATTTTGAGTAGTTTGGCGAACCAGTAAGTACCACCTCTGACTGGCCCCTCCCCCATCTATTCTCTGCCTCTCGGGTCTCAGCTGATCGGGAGGAAATGGAGATTTTACAGTATCCTTCCCCTGCCACGGCCACCAAGCCACTCCCACCGAACCGGCAGTAAAAAAATTTGAATCCCACCACTGAGGTAGACATTCTGGAAGGAGAATCCACACTAGAAAAGCTTGAGTATGGAGTTACTGTAGATGGCGTTCTCAATGTTGAGACCCTCTGAAAGCCTTCCCTGCTAAATCTCATTGGTTGGGCAGATTGGGTTCGGAAGAAGAGTTCTCCAAGTGATGGAGACCCTAGCCAGTAATTAGAATTGCGTGCTGAAGCTGTCAGTCAGTGTAACTGCCATTGAAACGGTCATTCTAGTTTCTTCCATAACTATTTGACCTGTTAAATGCTAAACCACTTCAACTGCAATCTAATATAGATGAAATTATAGTGAACTACCTGTTATGTGAATGACCACAACTGGCAGGTAAGATGTAATTTTCTGGAGGCATTCCTAGCCACAGCCTCCATCTGCTGTTCAAGCAAATATATATATACACACACACACACACACATACATACATACATACATACATACATACATACATACATACATACATATAATATAATATATTTGTGTGTGTGTGTGTGTGTGTTGTATTTGTGCTGATAAATAAATAAAGGGAGACTATTTATCAGCACAAATACAACACAAATGTGGCAAAAGGCAACAGTAAAAATATTGGGTTTCTGTGGTGATGGTCTCTTGTGACGAGCCGATAGACAGATAATGGAAGCAGTTAGCTTCCTCCCATAATTGGGGCATACCAGGGGTTGTGACACTATATATATACATACATACAGATACACATACACATATACACACATACATACATACATACATACATACATACATATATATATATATATATATATTTATATATTATAAAAATACAATTAATGATAATGACATTAATGAGAATATATATTCTGTTTCAAAGTAGAAAATAATGAAAGTTATGCTGAACCATTTTGGATCAGAGCTTGGCAGAAACAAAATCTGGAGCATTTTGAATATTTAAGGTTTCAGATGAAACAAAATCCATAAGAATTTGTGTTATTCTATGAATAATAAGGCAAAGCTGGTGTCACCCAAAAACCCCCACCAAACATGACTTTTTTCTAGTCTTACAAACTCCTCATTTTGCTTCTACTCCAAAATCAGTTGCCTGAACTGAATAGCTATACAAATTGATTGAATGAATGCATTAATTTAAACAAACATTTCAGTGGATACCAGTGTTTTTTAATAAATCAAAGCATTTGAAATAGATATTTACCATAGTTTGGGTTGGGCATGGACTACCCAATGCAAGTTGTTCTGTGCATCAAACATTCCTGTATGGATTTTTTTGGTAACTTGTAAGAGTTATATTTTCCCATCATGCTTATGATTGGGCTATCTAAGTTCTTGTTGATATGAATAAATCATTACTTTTGCATTCCTGTGTCTTGAGGTCCAACCTAACAATAATGTCTATGTGGCATAATGGTTAAGGTGGTTAGACTTCCTCAGCCATGGAAGTTCTCTGGATTTTTCAGCTCAATCCCCTTCATATTGTTGGTTGGGAAGTGGGAAAAGGTGGGGGAATAGGAATCTTTCCCTCTTCTTGTTCTTTAACCATTTCTGCATATGCTATTTCCTCTGCATTTCTCACTTCATGACCAACACATTTTCAAAGCCACTCTGTGGCCTGCCAGCAGCCAGCGGAGCTGGCAGCAGACTCGGACGAGGAGGTTGGGGAGGAACTTGGGTCAGTTCTGGAGTCTGGGTAAGGTTCTGATGGATGCTCTGTGAGGACGCAGATATAGAGCCAGGGCTGTCCAACATTTCCCAGCCACCAGAGAGCCAGCTGCCTTTGGAGGCTGATATGAGTAGGGCCTGTTCCGGGTGCACATATGTGCACAGCTGTTAGGAGAGATGAACAATGGAGGACAAGGAGTTGCTTCAGGAAGCAAAGCACACATGGACGCTGACTGCCCTCCCCCTGGCTGGGGAATAAATAGAAGGAAAGAGGAGTGGTTGTTGCAGGAGACAACAATTTTTATTTCTGAAGATTTTGCTCATTGTGTTTTGTGCCACAGAGCATGCTTGCAGCCTTTGGGCTGGGAGCACAATTATCTCAAGGAACTGATAAGGTCTTTTATTGCAGTTAACTCTTTGAAGGACTATTACCTGGACTTTTCAGTGGGTGAATGCAATTAATTCACAAGAAATAAATAAAGAGGGGATTTTCATGACAAGGAGTCTCTTTCTTACTTCTGCTAAGACTGGGTCAGAACAGCAGCGTCCTTTTTCCCCATATTTTGAGGATTGTGTGAAAGCACATTGGATGTGTGAGAAAAAATTTGTAGTTGGTAGATACGATTTTCTTTTGTTTTCTCTGTCCTGCATGGAAAAATCTGCTTTGGTGGAAATCCTAGAGAAGTGCTAAGTAAACCAGGAGCCCCCAATTTTTTTCTGCTCATCAATCCCTTCATGAAGTTTCAGATTCTTTATCAACCTCCAAACATTTATTATATAAAAATAATTTAATCAGTACTGCTTTAATTAATCGGTTTAATCAAAAGGTGATCAAATGACCCAAGACACTGCAACCATCATAAATGTAAAAAACAGTCATCAGTACCATTGCAATTTTGGTCACTAAAAGAATGGTTATAAGTCAAAGGACTGCCTGCAGACATGCTGGTCTAAACTGAAGGAATACTAAGATAATTAGATATCTATAACAATACAGGTCATGTACAATTTGCAGCTGTGGTAAGTAACTAATTAGACAAGGAACCTGTTTATTTAGGAATGTTACAGATTTTCCTTTGATTTCGGAATGGGTTAATGCAAACTTATTATAGCAATTCCTGTAGAAAGGATTCAGCAATCTTTAGCTAATACAGCCACACTCAATGACTGACTCTCCCAAAATACCAGTGCCAACTTCTGTTCATATGAAGAATCCCAAATATTAATATTAGTTACCAACAAGCATCTTGGTACATAAAAGGGATCCAATTTTATTTAACACTATTTGAACTACAACGTTCTGTGCTTTTGTGTTGAAGTGCAGTACAAATGGCTAATTCATTATTTGTTTCCACCATAATTTGTTAAATAAGTGTCTAGGTTCTCACAAGATACTTAAATCTAAAGCCAGTCAGCCAATTGTGCCGTAGGCTCTTCTCCATTGCTCAGTTGAAACACAATACAGTACACCAACTCACAGTAGGCAGAAACTGTACACTGCTGATTTCCTATCTCACGTAACCTCTTCCAAAGTAGTGGTGATAAAGCATAACAGATTTTTAACAGTTTGAGGTTGCCATGGCTGTTGTTAAAACAAGGGAGAAAAATATTCTTTTGCCACCTGTTAGGCTAAGGATACTTTAA